GCTTTGTGTCCTGAATGGTTTCTGTTCTTAGGGCTTGCCATATGTTAAATCTTTAACATTTAGAGCTTTCAACTTTGAAATCAGGAATAGGAAAAAAGTACCCAATGAAAAGATTTCATTTTTTTCTAAAGCATTTTTGGGAAGTATTGCAAACATCCGATTAAAAGTTAGAGAGATGAAGGACGTCCCTGGTGGCACAAAGGCTTAAGTTTCAGTGTTGTCAACCTAGCACCAGCCACTGAGGTCTGAGTTTGATCCCCGACCAGGGAGTGACCCACAGGGTGCAGCAGACCCCTCCTGTCTCTCACTGCTCCCTCAGCAGTGTGCTTCAAATGACCTGTTCTGCTCCCCACCATGTCTCTGGTGAATCCTTTCACCGCTTGCACTTCTGGCCTACACCCAGGTGTAAATACATAAAAATCAATCTTTATTTTAAAATAAGAGATGGAGAGAAGGTACTGATCAAAGATTGTATAGGTCTTAGAGCAATAAGCAACAGACACAAGTAAGCCCTTTTCTTTTGTTTTGGGACGCAAACCATGCTTTAAGTTTCTGTAGAGACAGAGCCTACAAGTAAACTGTGGGGTTTAATTGCTTTCTTCGATGGTGCTTTTAAGAAAGGTTTTATTGCTCCAAAGCAAGATTCGTAGGGAGGTGACTCTCTAGTCACTTGTTGGGAAAGGTACTGTGCCTGGGGGGCGGTGGCGCATGCCTCCCCACCACGGGAAGAATGGGGAAACGCTGATCAAATATTTACCACCAAATGTTTACCACACTGTCCTAAATGCTCCAGGTACCTGATGTCATTTGACCTCTGTAACAAGCCAAGAGGGTAGGTTCTATGATGTTTTCTCTTTTCAGAGAAAGAAATTACTGTCCAAAGGAGTAAAGAAACTTTCCCTAAGTCATACAGCTTTCAGGGAGGGAGGGAGGGGGAAGCTGGAGCTCAGAGCTAATGCCCACCCACTACAGTATGGTGCATTCTCAGCCTGTTTGCTTGACTTTTTGACTTTTATAATTAGCTCGCCTTATATACGGGGCACATGACCAGAGACCAGGGGATGGACTACCACTCTATAGTCACATTATAGAGGGACAGATAGAGGGAGAGAGAGATAGATATGTGTATTTAGCCTCTGCACCCAAAACTCATATAATTTCCTGAGTGATGGGTGCTAGGGACATCTTTTGTTCTACTATTTGATTTCTAAAAGAGCTCCTAAATCCCCTGGAATTTCCTGGGTAAGAGGAACATCTTTTGTCTAATGAACTGGGTGGGCTCCTGGAGAATTTTGGGATAGGATCTGGTCGCCAGAAAGACCAGATGATGATTAGAAGGCTGGAACTTTTATTTTTTTTTAAGATTTACTTATGCATACAGAACTGGGGTACAGGTCAGAGGTGCAGGGGTAGTGAGACGATTCACCAGAGAGCGGGGAGCAGAACAGGCAGACTGACAAAGTACACTGCTGAGGGGAGCAGTGGTCGGGTCAGGAGAGGTCTGCTGTGCCATGTGGGATTACCTCTGGGGCTGGGATCAAACTCATGCTGAAGTAGAAGCCTGGAACTTTTAGTAGCCTCCTCCCACCCCATGCTTCAGGAAGGAAAGAGGGACCGGAGGTGAATCATTAGCACCCCATGTGATGAAATTTCCACAAAAGTCCTGAAATTAGGGGTTGCAGAGAGCTTGCAGTTTGGTGAACTCATCCTCATGCAGGGAGGCTGACCCTTCTGGACCTTCATCTGGCTGTTACTCCTATCCTTTAATAAAGGGGGAAACATGTTTCCAGTGCTGTAAGACATTGTAGCATATTACAGAATTTGAGGAGGGGATTAGGGAAACCGGATTTATAGCCAGATGGGCACAAGGGTGGGTAACCTGGAGATCCACTGTTTGCAGTTGGGTCTGAAGTGGGGGTGGTCTTATGGGATGGAGTCCTTAATCCGTGGGATCAGCCTTAACCCTAGGTAGTATCACAATAGCTGGGTGTGGGAAATTCACATATTTGGTACCCAGAAGTATTGGGAATAGTACCGAAAGTAAGTTCCTGGCCGGTAAAATATGAATGGATGTGTCCTGAGTTAACAGGGCTAAGAGAAACTTGGGAAACAGTGGAGGAAGTTTATTGGGGTGCTAGAACCATGCCCCCTCGGAACAACTGTCTAGTGCCCTGCTGCTCTGTGAGTGGGCAGTAAGTCAACACACTGCCACTGAGCAGCTACTTTAGAACAGGTCCTGGGGTAGCCTTTGTGGAGGACTCCAAGAAGGACTTAAAAAATGGACTTTGCCCTCGAGTAGAAGACAAATACCAAACGTAAAAAGAGTGAAAAAGAAAGTGAGCAGTGCTAAGCCACCACACGGCACAGTTCACTGAGAACTCCGTGTGCAAGAAACAAGGCCTGGAGGGTTTAAAAGGAGAAAGACTTCCTTGTGGCCGATGGGAAGGCTACTTGTACTGAGTGGGAACAAAACCAGAATTTAAAGAATTGGTTTTGAGTAGCATAGGGAGAGAATGACAGAAGAACCACACACAAAGAGAAATCTGGGCCCTCCCTGATGGCACAATGGATAGGGGTGCAACACTGTGAAACTCTCCACAGCCACTTCAGCACGAGTTCGAGTTCGAGCTCGAGCCCAGCCAGGAAGTGACCCACAGAGTGCAGCAGATCTCTCCTGTCTCCTCACTGCTCCCCTCAGCAGTGTACTTCATTGATCTGCCTGTTCTGCTCCCACTGTTTCTGGTGAATCCTCTCACCACCGCTTTGCCTCTGGCCCGTACCCCAGTTCTATATGCATAAATCTCTAAAAGAAAGAGAGAGAGAGAGAGAGAGAATCTAAGACATGTGAAACAGTGAGAAGAATGTTTTAGCTAAGTGGGACACTGGGGAAAATGAGTGGTAAAGAAGCCAAGTTTTGGCCAGATGGTAGATCTTTAGTTTGAAGGTAATGAGTTGGGGTTCAAACCTTTAGTCCAGTCAGTGGGTTATTAATGGTAGCTTTTGAGACAACTGTCATTGGTTTAACAATTTCAAAAAACCTTTAGTGATGTCCCGTTGCACTGGAGGGGAGAATGCCCCGTTCTTCTCAGTTAGTTAAATAATTACAATAGCATCGGTAATGTGTACCCAGGGGATGCACTTAGATTCTGAGGATTCAGATTATCAGATGGGGAGGAGTTTGAACTAAGGAATGGGGTAAGGGCCTGGAGCTCCAAAGAGGAAGAGGGGGTGACGGGGATTTCCCAGAGAGAGAGGACATCTCCGCACATAGTCCTACGTGTGCATGCTACCCCCCATCTTAACTGTTCAAGATAGCCAAGGCTCAGGGATTCCTTCCCTTCAGGTGGGGGAAGGGCAAGGGCCTCTCTTTGGCCTCCAGGGCTTCAATTGACCTCAACTCAATAACCTGCAAGCCAGAGTAGGAGGCCCGTTCTGAGAGGCTGGGATGGCCTGTTTTGAACGCCTTCAAGTCCCAGTCCTCAATAAAAGAGCCCCTGGGCTTCCAGGTCCAGAAGGGGGTAAATGGATGTGCTCCGAGGCTCCCCTGGGTAGCACACCACCCTGACCTCCTCACTCCTAACTTTTTCTACCATAAAATATGCTTATATAATCTCTTTTCTTTCGCTGGAAATTTTATTCTCAGCTGAGTCATCTTTTCCTTGCTCTTTATCTGGTACTCATCAGGAAAAGGCCAGGGAAAGATGACTGACTCACAGAATCTTAATTTCCCAAGGGAAGAAACCAGACAGCAATTTTATGCAGCTCTTAACTGGATATAAATTCAAGCTCCTACCTACATTATGAATTAGTAAATCACTTTAAGCAATCGTAAAGCTCCTCAAAATTGACCAAGAATGACTTAATTTCAAAGCTTGACTATCAAGTGAATTGTGAACTTTCCCTTTGCCCTGAAGCTTCATTTTATTTGGTAAAACATCACCAGCTCTTGTTAGGATTAATCTGGAGTCCTGAGAGATCTTTAGAAATTCATCCCACGTGTTAACTGTGGCATCAGCTTCCCCAAACCTATTTTAAAATCCACCTGAGAACATTCAAAACCCACCCCCAACCTCATTTTATCAGGCAGCTTCAGGAAGGGCACCTGGAAAGGTGTTCAGAAAGCACCAAGCTGTTACAGGCAGGAAAGTCTCTTACAGGACCCAGGGCCGTATCCTTGCCCAGGAGTAAACATTTTCTAGAAGCGTGTAAGCAATCCTGAGTCTGCTGTTCAGCTGTCACCACTCCAGAGCAGTGACACCAGCTGGGTGAGGGGTTTTAGTGGAAACCGGTCCTGAAGGAGTTTGGGCGCTCAGGCTTGGCCACGGGCCGAAGCCGTAGGAGCCGGCCTGTGCCTGTCGGGCACAGCAGCCTCGGAGGGCTCGCGAGCCTTCGCCCAAGGAACGCCTGTCGCACCCTTCCCCTCCGCGGTCACAGGGCGACAAAGGCTGCAGAGAGCGCCAAGCCGAGGGTTGAGCCACTGGGGTGGGGGGCGGGGATAGGACGGCAGTCAGGGCTCCCGGTCAGCCTACTCTGAGGCAAGGGCGGTTTTGGGAAGTTCGACAGAACGTTTATGAGGGCTAAAAAGAAACTGGGGGGAACCGAGCATTTCTCACTTTACAAAAGGAGAAAACACCCCAGAGCCTTTTTATCTGGCGAGAACACCTTTGGGGCCGTTGGTCGGAGGAAAGCGGCGGAGCGGCGTTGGCCTCGCGCCCTCGCCCGCTTACCGCTCGGTGCGAGGCCCGTCTTCCGGGCCGGGGCCCTGGGCTCCACCGGCGGTCGGCGGGGCAGCCGCGCAGCAGCAGCCGGCTGGCAGCGAGCGCCTCCCGCTAGGTGGCATCACTACGCTGCGGGAGCCCTAACGCCCGACCGGGCAGGGGATCCTGACCACGGTCTCACCGGAGACCCAAGCCGAAGGCCCGCGGCCAGACCCCTGCGCCCCCTCAGGAGCTGCCCACCTCCCCAAGAGCGTTACAGCAGCTTTTTTCGACTACTGAAGTGGCTCTGAAAAGAGCCTTTGGGTTAAAACAGCCGTTTCCTTCCGTCCCTGGCGCGCCCTTACTTGGAGCTGGTGTACTTGGTGACGGCCTTGGTGCCCTCGGACACGGCGTGCTTGGCCAGCTCGCCGGGCAGCAGCAGGCGCACGGCCGTCTGGATCTCCCGCGACGTGATGGTCGAGCGCTTGTTGTAGTGCGCCAGGCGGGAGGCCTCGCCGGCGATGCGCTCGAAGATGTCGTTGACGAAGGAGTTCATGATGCCCATGGCCTTGGACGAGATGCCCGTGTCGGGGTGCACCTGCTTCAGCACCTTGTACACGTACACGGAGTAGCTCTCCTTGCGGCTGCGCTTGCGCTTCTTCCCGTCCTTCTTCTGCACTTTTGTAACGGCCTTTTTGGAGCCCTTCTTGGGCGCAGGAGCAGATTTTGCTGGATCCGGCATCTTTACACAGAGACACAGGCGAGATGTGATCGCAAATACAGGAAAACCCGCAGGCCACGCGCTACTTATAGAGCCCGTATGCAAATGACGGCTCTCTCAGCGCTGCACTCTTATTGGTTAACTTCCAATGGTGACGTCGAGAGGGGCGTGGTCCATGAAAATAATAGATTCAGCTAGCTCTTCTTTAGTGGCCATTACAAGAAAGATCTTGTTAGCCAATCAAGGTATTTCACTTCTCATTAGCCAGTCAGTTACATGAAGTGGTAGTTTCACCTGTTTGGGAATGTTTTTTATTTTTAGTTAGACTCGTATACCGAAAAGGCCTGAACAACCAGCTAGGTACGTTAACTTCCCTCTTTGCATCGTTTTACTCTACATTTATTAGCTTGCGTTTGGATTTTGGAATAGTAATCCCTTAGCCCACAAAACAAAGTATCGCAAGGTAGTTATTTTCTTCAAATCCTCATTCCGGTTTGCACCACCCGATTATTATGCAAAGAGGAAGATAGTAACTGTGATACAATCACTTAAATGAGCCTCAAAAATGCTTTTAAGTTTTTAAGTAATTGGTCTCTTCCTCCCGCCCCCGGGCAACTACCTGGGGAAGGTATTTTAACTCTAATAGCCATGAGACAAAATTGAAGACTACAATCCCAGTAATCATTTGAGGGCCTTCTAAAATTGTGATTAATTATGCATTCAAGTGTTTTAAGGTTTTGCACTACACCTTGGAACGCGTTACAGAACGGCAGCGTTCACCTCGTTACAGACTTGTCAAATGCCCTAGAACTTTACCAGTCTTCTCTTAACGCTTGTCAAAACGAGGCTTTGGCTCCACAACCCCGTCACCTTTAAGGTGCAAACTTGCCCTAACCCCTTCAACTCGAGACACCGCTGGTTGGAGACTCGCGCCAGCTGCTCTTCTTGAAAACGTGCGCGGCTCTGAAAAGAGCCTTTAGGTCGCCTGCTTCAAACGTGAGCCCCAAGCCCGCCCCCCGCGGATGCGGCGGGCCAGTTGGATGTCCCTGGCCATGGTGGTGACGCGCTTGGCGTGGATGGCGCTCAGGTAGATGTTCACGAGCAGCCCCACCGAGATCTCGCTCGCCTGCAGCGCCATCACCTCGAAGCTCTGGAAGCCCTGCGCGATCCCGCGCACCAGCCGCTGGAATGGCAGCTTGCGGATCAGCAGCTCGGCGGACTTCTGGTAGCGCCGGATCTCGCGCAGCGCCACGGTGCCGGGCCGGTAGTGAAGCAGCTTCTAGGTGCCGCCGTGGAAGGCGCGCTCTCGCGGGGGCCTTACCGCCGGGAACTTACAGGATCTGCTTCGGGAGGGCCAGGACAGCGCACTGGTCTTATTCGGAAAGCCTTAGGCATTTATAGACACAGCTTCGTCTTGATTGGGCCAGACAAGCTAGGAAGTTCCAGACTTGTGATCTCATTGGTTAAAATCAATGCTACTTACAGGGGCAGAAGGTTTATTCTAATGCCGTGCCTTATTTTTTCTTTCCAGTACTTCTTTACAATCTCATCCATCGCAACTTAAAAACCTTTCTTTTAAAGTTGGAGTAACATTTATAAAAGCAATGTACACAGTCTTCTGGGATTTATATTGTAATTGGTTCCTTCTAACTATAGCACAAACATATCCTCCCCCAAAGTAGGTTTCAGCCTGTATTTCAAGTGACCAAGTTACCTTTACTCCTTTCCCATTTATTTAGTGCTTGGTACTGCGCTAAGCCCGATGCACGCGTTGTAACTGAAGCTCAAGGAGTCTCAGCACCCAAACTAAACTGATCGTGTCCCGAATGTGGAACTAACTCTGTCACAGAGCTTATCTATGGTGTGCTGGCACCAAGTCCCGAGCAGAGTGTCGGACTTCTTCACCTTTTCTCCCTGCAGAGCAGTTCCCTAGTTCTATCCATCAATAGCCAATTCAGTCCTGAAGATGAAAGCTTCTAAGTAAGTCCAGGAAGACCAGAAAATATTAATTTCTCTGTTATGATGGTAAATAGCTGTTAAAAAGTTATTTATCAGTCAAGTGTCCAGTCAGTTATTCGTTGAGTTACTGGTAGATTTTCTTCAGTATAGTGCTATGCAATGTTTTAAAGTTTCCATTTTCCCCACTGTCTATAAGGAAATTGAAGGTCCTGGCTGCCCTTAGGCATGTCTCTTTCATATCTTGAAACTGTGCTCAGAAATCTGCCTGGCATGTAACTGGTTACCTAATGTCACCAATGCTTAAAATTGTAATAGCTAACATAAAAATTTTAATCCTACATTTATTTTGTTGAAAAAGCAGTGCATCCAAAACTGAAACTTGAGAGCAAAAGAAGCCACGAGAAGTTTCACAGTTTCCTGGAAGGTGCCAGCAGGAACCATCACCTTCCGAAGGAAGTCCACAGTGGCCTTGAGTGACTCTCCTGAACACCAAACACTAGGTAGAATCTTGTTAGCTTTTCATCTTCAAGGGTCCTGGAATAGCAACAATGTCTACTTGAGAATTCTAAAATGTCATGCACCCTTGTAACTGATCTGAGCAAGCTGGTTTGTAACAAAGGCTTACGCTGGCACAGCTCTGCCCACATTTTAAACTCTTCCACATATACTCTCATTTAATAGATGTTATTTTCCTCATTTTACAGATAAGGAAACTGAGCCTCAGAGAAACTTTGGCTTGTGCCAGATGAGTAACAAGGCCTGAATATTACTGTAAAACAAAAGAATGAAATTATAATGGATTTCTAGTTTCATTAGGCTTGCCAGTACACTTAAAAAGAATTTTCCCAAGAATTTTGGACTTCCTTCAGAAGGTGATCGTTCCTGTTGGCAACTGGCAGGAAACTGTGAAACTTCTCATGGCTTCTTTTGCTCTCAAGTTTCAGTTTTGGATGCACTGCTTTTTCAACAAAATAAATGTAGGATTAAAAATTTTATGTTAGCTATTACAATTTTAAGCATTGGTGACATTAGCTAACGAGTTACATGCCAAGCAGATTTCTGAGCACAATTTCAAATCACCCAATGCTTCTCAAACTTCTCCATTCAACTATTCCTATCAGGAGAGGAGACTACCCTTTGAGTCCCAAAGCAGCCCACCCAAGCGTCCTATTCTTTTACAAAGTTCTCCCCCCTCAAATTTCTTGACCGCATTTTATGGAAATGTTCACTTAAGAAAATTCTGAAACTCTATACTCATTTAGAACCTAACAGTCATGGGATTTAGCTTTTTAATGTAAGGGAGGGAAAAAAATTCCCCTAACCCTTTGGGTTCTTCTCAGGCTGGTCTAGCAACCAAATTAACAACTGCTAAATTAGTAAGAAAACAGAAAAATTCAATTATATATGTAATGGAGAACATTTGAAAGGCAAAGAGGCATATACGGAGAACTATTTTAAGCTAAGGAATGAGATAGAGGGTTGAGTCTCAAGGACAGAGGAGAGGACCCACATGAACAGCAAAG